GGGGGAGAGGGGAGAGAGAGAGAGAGAGAGAGAATGGTAAGTATGTTAATAGATAGAAAGGGAGATAGGAAGGAAAAAAAGAAATTAAGGTGTATAGATGTGTAACACACATTGATATATATATATATACATGAGAAAGTAAGGGTATGCAGCAGACTGTAGAATGAATACCCGAGAGAGAGGTAGATATATATATAGAGAGAGAGAGAAGGAGAGAAAGAAATTAGGGGCATTGAAATAGATAAAAGTAAGAAAGTAAGGGAAAAAAAGACAGATAAAAGGAAAGACAATAAGACAGTGGACAGAAAAAGAGAGAGAGAGAAGATAATGGTAAGTATGATAATGGAGAGAGAGAGAAAGAAAGAGAGAGAAATTAATTAGGGGCATTGAAATAAATAAAAGGAAAATTAGGGAAAAAAACAGAAGGATAAAAGTAAAGACAATAAGACAGTGAACAAAAAAAAAAAAGAGAAAGAGAGAGAGTGAGAATGGTAAGTATGATAAGAGATAGATAATCTCCTAGATTGTAAACTCGAAAGAGCAGGGCCCTCGAACCTCTCGTATATTGTTTTGTTACTGTATTGTCTCATATACTGTCCCCCCCACTATTTTGTACAGCGCTGAGCAAAACTTTTGGCGCTATATAAATACTGTATAATAATAATAGATAATTATAAAGAGATAGATAGATATGAGAAGGATGGACAGATACTAGATAGATAGATAGATATGAGGATAGATAGATAGATATGAGGATAGATAGATAGATATGAGGATAGATAGATAGATATGAGAAGGATAGATAGATATGATGAGAAGGATAGATAGATAGATAGATATGAGAAGGATGGACAGATACAAGATAGATAGATATGAGAAGGATGGACAGATACTAGATAGATAGATAGATAGATAGATAGATAGATAGATAGATAGATAGATAGATAGATAGATATGAGAAGGATAGATAGATAGATATGAGAAGGATAGATAGATAGATATGAGGATAGATATGAGGATAGATATGAGGATAGATATGAGGATAGATATGAGGATAGATATGAGGATAGATATGAGGATAGATAGATAGATATGAGGATAGATATGAGGATAGATAGATAGATATGAGGATAGATAGATAGATATGAGGATAGATAGATAGATATGAGGATAGATAGATAGATATGAGGAGGATAGATAGATAGATAGATAGATAGATAGATATGAGAAGGATGGACAGATACTAGATAGATAGATAGATAGATAGATAGATAGATAGATAATTATAGATAGAGGAAGGACATGTAGATGACAGAAGATATGTACAGGTGTATTACATATCAGAAATTCTATTCTGCTGAATCTGCAACTCTCTGAGGTGTCCCAAGGAGGCCAGAGAAGCAAAGAATCTTCCATTCTGTAGGTTGTAATAGAATAGTGACAAGTAGAATTACTAATTGTAGAAGGGATATCTGAGAACAGTTGGACACCATGGCATTTGCTTACAAGGAAAACTTCATCTGCCTGGAATGAAATTCTTCCTCGACTTGATGGTGACGTCCTGACCTTAGGTGAGGGGTGCTGGACCACAGGAGGGTCTGGGGAAATGTATTCTGAAGGAGAGGACTGATGCAATATAATGTATGTTCGAATATTTCCTATCATGATAGGTGATAGCAGGGGCGGACTGACAACTCGTGGGGCCCCTGGGCAATAGGGGATCATGGGGCCCCTGTGTCCTTGCCCAAACTCAAAAAGCATATGAAAAAGGTACCAGGGGCATCTCATGGGGCCCCCTACTGACCCCGGGCCCTCGGGCAGTGCCCCCGAGTTTCCAAATGGTCAGTCCGCCCCTGGGTGATACGACCAGCACGTTAAAGCCCAGCTAAAGCTTCATTTAAACATATTTTAGATGCACCAAAAGTTGTGCAAAGTCTTGTCTCTAATTGTAAGAAGCAGCCACAGCTGGAGTAGAAAAGACTGTCCCCTGCCAACATGCTGCAGAGGAGGATCCTTGCTCTCTGCATGGAAGCAGGGGTATCTCTGCAGAGAGAACACAGTGCTATCTCTGTGCAGTGGTTCCACACATTCCCAGTTGGGTCAGACCTAGAGCTCTGCAGTCGGCAAAGCTCCTGTTTCAAGCTGACCTCTTTCTAAGGCTAGGTTCACACCTATGCAGTTTGCGTTTGGTCCGTTTCTGCAGTAGTTTCTGCAGTGAATTTTGCAGGTTTTGCATATACGTTTTTAATGCGTTTTGCATTTTTTTTTCATGTTGCTAAGCAGAATTCACACTTGTGCGGTGCAGCATATCGCATGTGATTTGCACAATGACCACACCGCATTCCTGTGCAAATCACTTGCAAATTCAGTGCGATGCGATTTGAGCCATACACTTTGCATGGCTCAAATCTCACTGCATTCGCACAAAAAAGGTGCATGACCCTTTTTTTGGTCCGCACTAGAATCAGATCTCATGTGTATTCACACCCATGCGATCCGATTCTGCATATCGCACCGCGTTTTGCGGACCGATTTTGGGGTCTTGTTAACTTAACATACACGCCTGCATTGGTTTGCATGAACGGGGTGCGATTGTGATGTGGTGCGGAATTTGCACAGAAACCGACGTGAATTCAGTGTGAACCCGGGCTAAAACACAAAATGCCGCAAAAACACACAATATGATTTTCTGCAGCTCTTCCATTGAAGTCTATAGAACCGAAAACACAACTCTTTGCATTTAAAAAAGTCCCTGAACCTTTTCAAAAAAGTCACCGGGTGAAAATGCAGAGATGTGAACCTGTCCCCTAGGAAATCATATTAAATGGACTGTACTGCGTTTCTGCAAAACGCTGCTGAAAATGCTTAGGTGTGAACCTGGGGTAAGCATGGATTGCCTTGGATCTCTGCAGAGAGACCATTGGTTCCACCCAGACAGGAAGAACTCACAACCAGGGGCGGACTGACCATTTGGGAACTCAGGCACTGCCCGGGGTCAGAAGGGGGCCCCATGAGATGCCCCTGGTACCTTTCATAGGCTTTTTTGGGTGTGGTTTGAGTGTGGGCAAGTACATAGGGGTCCCATGATCCCCTATTGCCTGGGGGCCCCATAAGTTGTCAGTCCGCCCCTACTCACAAGCAAGCAATAGAGCCTTCCACTGCCAGCATGCTGCAGACAAGAAGTGATGCTTTCTATATGGAAGCAGTGGTCTCTCCGCAGAGATCTGACTCATTCCCAGTCAGTCCTATAGCTCTTCAATCTGCAAGGTTCCTGTTCCCAGCTGATTGCAAAGCTCCACCCAGGGGCGGACTGACAACTCATGGGGCCCCCGGGCAATAGGGGATCATGGGGCCCCTGTGTCCTTATCCAAACTCAAAAAAGCCTATGAAAAAGGTACCAGGGGCATCTCATGGGGCCCCCTACTGTCCCCCGAGTTTCCAAACGGTCAGTCTGCTTCTGGCTCCAATTCAGACGTCATGCAGACGTGTGCAGAGAGCCCGCTGCTTCCACATAGAGGGACAGGCTTTTCTACTCAGGCTGTGGCTAAAACAAACTGTTTTGCTTGCCTTGGATACATTTGGAAGTATTTCAAGCGAAAGTTCAGTAAGCCCGGGTTCACATATATGCGGTGCGATATATCGCATGTCATTTGCACAGGAACCACACCGCATTCCTGTGCAGATCACATGCGATTTGTGTGCGGTGCGATTGGAGCCATACAAATGTATGGCTCTAATCGCACCGCACTAGCACCAAAAACGTGCAGGACCCTTTTTTTTGGTCCGCGCTAGAATCGGATTGCATGGATATTCACACCTATGCGATTCGATTCTGCACATCGCACCGCGTTTTGTGGTCTGCTTTCGGTGTTGTTAACTTAGCATACAAACCTGTGGTTTGCATGAACGGGGTGCGATTCTGATGCGGTGCGGAATTCGCACAGAAAACGCTGCAAATTCCGCACCGCATCAGTGCAAACCCGGGCTTAGGCCATATTTCTAAGTACACTCGACTGATAACTCCCCCGATGTACAGCCTATACACAGGGATTGTCAATTCATCTACGCTGTAAATCCATTTTCCAGTGTACATGCCGTGTGTCTGCGGGGAGCCCAGGGGCCAATCAGAAATAAATGTTATCTCTGCGCTGCAGAAAAATCAACCTGCATTCTAAACGTTTTAATAATAAAAGCTAGGGAGATTTTCAGGGGAAACATTTTTTAAAATTGCACATTTTCTAATTTGTTTTCAAAGGTTTGAAATTCAAGACTCCACTTTGAAATGAAGGCCAATGTGCAGCCGATGTGACGTTTATAGGAGGTGTCCATATTTTAGTAAGTTGCCATGGGCATTAAAGGGAATCCATACTTTGATCTTCTCAGTCAAACCAAACGCCGGTACTCTGAAGTATGGGCAGGGGCGGACTGACAACTCATGGGGCCCCCGGGCAATAGGGGATCATGGGGCCCCTGTGTCCTCGCCCAAACTCAAAAAAGCCTATGAAAAAGGTACCAGGGGCATCTCATGGGCCCCCTACTGACCCCAGGCCCTCGGGCAGTGCCCGAGTTTCCAAATGGTCAGTCCGCCCCTGAGTATGGGGGAACACCTGAAGCTCCTCCCACAATAGAGCACTGACTGGCCAATCGCTAGACCTGTGTTCTGTCACATGTGATTGGGGAGGAGCATAAAAAGGGGAAGCTTACACAGAAGATTTTTATTTTTTTTTTTTTTTGCAGCTATTATTACTATAGGCAAAGTGGAGGTTCACTTTAAGGAACTTCACCATCTCGGTAACATGGCACCTAGCAGAGATCATTAGATCCTGCAGCAGTTAACCAGTTGCAGTACGTTTTATAAAATTTGTCACATTCCTGATTACAATCAGGGGCAGACTGACTATTCAAGCACTCGGGCACTGCCCGAGGGCCCGGGGTCAGTAGGGGGCCCCATGAGATGCCCCTGGTACCTTTTTCATAGGCTTTTTTGGGTGTGGTTTGAGTGTGGGCAAGGACACAGGGGCCCCATGATCCCCTATTGCCCGGGGGCCCCATGAGTTGTCAGTCCGCCCCTGATTACAATATAATAATCATCAGTGTGGACATTTTGAATAATAATCTGCAACGGGCAGCTCTTCCCACTGCATTCAGGTTTCTGCTGTAAAGACCATTTATAAAAATTTCGCTGTGCCGAAGCCTCACCGTTCAAACAGCCGTCATGAATAATCTCTGTAATCTGTCTAATATGTTTATTTCCCATGATCATCGGCTCCACCTAGTGGCCATAATGCAGTATTTCCCTGAATGAGGCATTTCAGGGAAATATCACATTATGATCACTAGATGGAGCTGATGAGCATAGGAAAAATATATTTGACTTTTTACGATGGTTATTTGTGACAGTGGTAGATTAGGACATTCGTGAGGGGTTTTTTTTTTTTTTTTTATGTAAAAGTGATTCTATTGTCTATTGAATTTTCCCTTTGAGATATTTATGTGTGCCTGTTCAGGTTCTTGCAAATAATGTTTGTGGTGTGAATTAAAAAAAAAAAAAAATTCCCTGTGAAATTAGATGTGCAACTGGGGATCTTGTTCCTGCTTTCTGTTTGGTTATACTGAACGGTGACTGGGCTTCTCTCACACACAGGGCAATCTAATTGTACAATCACCTATAGATCTACCAACAAGTACAATTGCAAAGTTTAGGTAGGTCATTATATTACATAATTTCGGTAGGTCTAAAGTTGATTGCACTGACAGAACCAGGGGCGGACTGACCATTTGGAAACTGCCCGAGGGCCCGGGGTCAGTAGGGGGCCCCATGAGATGCCCCTGGTACCTTTTTCATAAGCTTTTTTGAGTTTGGGCAAGGACACAGGGGCCCTATGATCCCCTATTGCCCGGGGCCCCATGAGTTGTCAGTCCGCCCCTGGTTGGTTCTTTGCAATCAGCTGGGAACAGGAACCTTGCCGATCGAAGAGCTATAGGTCTGACTGGGAATGAGTCAAGATCTCTGCGGAGAGACCATTGCTTCCATATAGAGAGCATCAGCAGCATGCTGGCAGTGGAAGGCTACTGCTTGCTTCTGAGCAGGGGTGGACTGACAACTTATGGGGCCCCCGGGCAATAGGGAATCATGGGGCCCCTGTGTACTTGCCCACACTCAAACCACACCCAAAAAAGCCTATGAAAGTTACCAGGGGCATCTCATGGGGCCCCCTTTCATTGGCTTTTTTGAGTTTGGGCAAGGACACAGGGGCCCCATGATTCCCTATTGCCCAGGGGCCCCATGTCAGTCCGCCCCTGGACAGTACGCAACATGCATGCGGTGAGCCTTTATCCTGAGGGAATCCTTTGGTGAGAGAAATACAAGCGCTAAAATTGCTGACCTCCCGAAACTGCCACTTGCCTGGCAGTCTCTGACTTCGAAACACCGAGGCTGCATTCACATCTGCCTGTTCCTGGAATGCGTAACGCGCATCTCACTTGCCGCGCCGTTAATTGGTCATTCAGCCTGGCAGTACTAGGGTCACCGGTTTGAATCCCACAACACTATCTGCATGGAGTTTGCATGTTCTCCCCGTGCCTGCGTGGGTTTCCCCCCACACTCCAAAGACATGCTGGTAGGTTATTTGACTCCTGTCTAAACTGGCCCTACTGTATGTGTGTGTGAAGTAGGGACCTTAGATTGCAAGCTCCTGGGGGGCAGAGACTGATGTGAATGTACTATATATATATGTAAAGCGCTGCGTACATTGTAAGCACCATATAAATACTTGAAGTACATCAAAAAGTCAGTGCAGTGTCACGTCCCTTTATCTCATATTTGTTTTCCAGGTCAGCCACTGAATCAGCTTGTCAGCCATGAGAGAAGTATTTTCAAGAGCGTTCAGCAATGCCAACTTTCCCGGTAGCAGAAATGCAAAAAGTAAAAGCGATTTCTACTTTGGCTTCATATCTGTCAGATCCGATACATATAATAAGACCCCTACATTTTACATTTTGCAGCTACCAATTACTTTCTATAGCCATTATAAAAAAAAAAAAAAAAAGAAAAAAGGAAAAGAAATCTATCTGCAAAGCAATCATGTCTCATAGGCACCCAGTCCCTTGCCTGTCAAGCAGCTTCAAACGAGCCCTTTTCTCTGTATAAAAGCAGCACAGCTGTTGTAAAGGGTGATTTATACAGATGATTATAGCCCAGGCGCAGCCTATAGATCCTTCTACACATCCAGGAGATAATGAGCCTCTCCTCAATTTACCCATTTAGGAGGAATCAGCCTCATTGCAGACCTGCACTAGATGCTCTAGGGTAGTCAACGGTCACATCTCAGCTTTGATGGCCATCAAGGGGTCTTACCTGCAGCTTCAATCCAGTTTTGTTGGAGCTCAAATCCCAAATCCAGACAGGATCAAGGTTCAAAGATAATATCCAAAAACAAAAAAAAAAAAAAGGGATCAGGGAGGCATTGATCCCAAGCCAAAGTTTTTGGAGGAGGTCCTGGAGAGACTTGGTTGCTGTTGTGTCCTCCAAGCAGAAGCTGATGTTACCTGATGTGGTGCTGAGGCACTCAGGCAGTTGGTGGTACTTGCGGAGCCTGGATGAAACATCTCCAGACCTGACCATGGATGGATGAGGAGGAGGAGCAAGAGGAGAATGCTTCAACCTGTCACAGGCTGTTCTACAAAAGCAAGGGGGGGGTGATGAGGTGGGGGAAAGTCCTCTGTCCATGGTGCTGTTAACTCATAACAGTCTTCAATAGTGAGAAGCTGTACAGGAGATACTTCATTGCTAGTGCAGTTGGTTCAGATGATGTGAACTGTGAAAGCTTACTTTAGCATAGTAGAATAGAGAATCTAAGATAAACCTAATTCACAATTAGCTGGTCGGGTACGTGAGACAAGAACAACCCAATTGTATAAATTTGGTCACATATCCATGGCAGCAACAGATGTCCTTGTTTTGGGGTGAGAGAACAATGAAGACACTTCACTGGCAGTGTCGGTAGCTCAGATAATGTGAACAGTGAAAGCTTTCTCTACCATAGTAGAAAAGAGAATTTAAAACAAACCCAACTCATAATTTGCTGGTCACAATTTGCATGGGACAAGATTTGCCCAATTTGGTCAGACTAGTTGATGGCCACACACCCTAGGCAGCAACAAATGCCCCTTTTTAGGGGGCAAGAGGCACTTAGTTGGATAGGTTTGCATACATTGTCCTATGCAGCCTGCCACGGGCTGCTCTACAATGCAAGAGTGGTGATGAGATGGAGGAAAGTCCTCTGTCCATGGTGCTGTTAACTCCTGACAGTCCTGAATGAAGAACATGCTTCATTGTTAATGCAATTTTCTCAGATGACCTGAAAAGTGAAAGCTAGAATAGTAGAATGGAGGATTTAGGATAACCCAATTCACAATTTGCTGGTCAGGTACGTGAGACGAGAACCACACGACTGGATCAATTTAGCCACATATCTATGGTTGCAAGAAATGCTCTCTTTGGGGTGGGGGGCAGGTAGCTCCATGCAGGTAGCTCAGATAATGTGAAAATTGAAAGATTACTTTAGCATGGTAGGATAGAGTTTTTCGAAGAATACCGGTGCACAATTTTCTGGTCCCAATTTGCGTGAGACTAGATTCACCCAACTAGGTCAATTTCTGCAGACTGGTTGATGGTCACATATCTTTGTCATCAACAGGTGTCCCTTTTTGGGGGCAGGAGGGCACTCATTCGGAGAGGTTTGCATGCGTTGTTTAACTCTACATGCAAGCGAAGGAGGAAAGGGGGTGACAAGCTGGGGTAAAGTTCTCTGTCCACGGTGCTGTTAACTCATGACAGTCCTGAATGGTGGGCAGATGTACAGGAGACACTTCTTTGCCAGTGCAGATGGCTTAGGTAATGTAAAAAGAGAAAACTTACTCCAGCGTAGTAAAATAGAGAATGTAGAATAAATTGACCAAACTGGGTGAAGTGCTTGATGGTCACAACAAATATCCCTCTTTAGGCGATTGATGGGATAGGTTTGCATGCATTGTCAGATTCAACCTCTCACTCTGCTCCACAAGTTAAGGGGGGTTATGAAAGTCCTTAGTCTATGGTACCGTTAACCCATGACAATCCTGAATGGTGAGAATCTATGTAGAAGACTCTTCATTTGCAGTGCAGGTAGCTCAGAGAATAATAAAAGTGAAAGTTTACTCTGGAGAATTTAGAATAACACCCATAATTTGCTGGTCCCAATTTGAATGAGGCAAGATTTGCCCATCTGGGTCAACTTCCGCAGACTGTATGATGGTCATATATCTTTAGCAGCAACAAATGTCCCATTCTGGGGGCAAGGGGGCACTCCATGGAATAGATTTGTACGCATTGTCTGATTCAACCTGCCACAGACTGCTCTACAAAGCAAGGAGAGCAATGAGGTGGGGAAAAGTCTCCTGCCCATGGTGCTGTTAACTCATGATAGTCCTAGATGGTGGGGAGCTGAGCAGAAGACCCTTTGCTAGTGCATTTGCCTCTTATGTGAAAAGTACACACTTGCTCTAGCCTGGTAGAATAAAAAATGTAGAATAAACCCAATTCACAATTTGTTGGTCTGGTACATGAGGCAAGAATCACCCAACTGGGTCAACTTGGTCAGACTGGTTGATGGTCATATGTCTATAGCAGGAACAGATGCCCCTCTTTGGGGAAGTAGGGGGCAATCAATTGGATAGGTTTGCATGCATTGTCTGATTCAACTTGCCACAGGCTGCTCTTCAAGGCAAGGGAGGTGATGAAGCGAGAGAAAAACACGTCATTGCCAGTGCAGGTGGCTCAGATAATGAAATAAGTGGTTTGTTGGCTGGTTACCTGAAACAAGAGTTGCCCAGTTGGGTCAATTTGAGAAGACTGTTTGATGGTCATGTATGGACAACAGAAGCCCTTACAATAATACCCATATGGTGAATTTGCATGAAACAAGAATTGCCCAGTTGGGTGACTTGGGGCAGAGTGGCTGATGGTCACATATCTATAGCAGGAGCAGATGCCCTTCTTTGGGGAAAGAGAG